AGAAACCGCCGATAAATTTAGTGAGACCCTCAAGAAATCAAGTGAGACCCTCGAGGTTATGAAAAAGGACCAACTAGAAATTAAGCATCCACTGACTGAAATAAAGAATAATATACAGAGATCCAACAGCAGACTAGAGGATCCCAAGAATCATATAAAGATTTGAAATATGAAGAACCAAAAAATACCCAACCAGAAAAGCAAGAAGCAAAAAGAATCCAAAAATATCAAGATAGTATAAGGAGCCTCTGGGACAACTTCAAGCGTAACAACATCCGAATTATAGGGGTGCCAGAAGAAGAGAAAGACCAATATATTGAAAACCTATTTGAAGAAATAATGACAGAAAACTTCCCCCACCTGGTGAAAGAAACAGACTTACAAGTCCAGGAAGCGCAGAGAACCCCAAACAAAAGGAATCCAAAGAGGACCACACCAAGACACATCATAATTAAAATGCCAAGAGCAAAAGACAAAGAGAGAATCTTAAAAGCAGCAAGAGAAAAAAAGTCAGTAACCTACAAGGGAGTACCCATACGAATGTCAGCTGATTTCTCAACAGAAACTAGGCAGGCCAGAAGGGAATAGCAAGAAATATTCAAAGTGATGAATACCAAGAACCTACAACCAAGATTACTTTATCCAGCAAAGCTATCATTCAGAATTGAAGGTCAGATAAAGAGCTTCACAGATAAGGAAAAGCTAAAGGAGTTCATCACCACTAAACCAGTATTATATGAAATGCTGAAAGGTATCCTTTAAGAAGAGGAAGAAGAAGAAAAAACTAAAGATAAAAATTATGAACAACAAATACACATCTATCAACAAGTGAATCTAAAAATCAAGTGAATAAATAATCTGATGAACAGAATAAACTAGTGAATATAATAGAATCAGGGGCATAGAAAGAGAGTGGATTGACTATTCTCGGGGGGGAAATGGGTGTGGGGGTGCGGGAAGAGACTGGACAAAAATCATATACCTATGGATGAGGACATTGGGGGGGTAAGGGCAGAGGATGGGGTGGGAACTGGGTGGAGGGGAGCTATGGGGGGGGGGGGAGGAACTATAATAATCTGAACAATAAAGATTTATTTAAAAAAAAAAAGAAGTGCATCAAAGATTACATGCAATCAATCAAAGGGAAGCTTGAAGAACAGAGACCAGAGTTCCTTATGGATGAAAACATGAGTACAGATGGCATGGTTGCTCTGCTGGACTACCATGAGAATGGTGTAATTTTCTTTAAAGTTGTTTTAGAAATCGGAAAATGTTAACGAATTTGGCAGTTTGGATCTATCACCTGTCAGCATAACTGGCTGCTGCTTTTCATCCAAATGGGACTGATCTTGAGCTCTTCGTTCATTTTGACCTTGACTTATTTGTAGCAAAGTCATTGTCTTTAAGAAAAAACATGTCATGTAGGTTGTCTAAAAATAAAATGCATTTAAAATAAAAAAATTTTTAAACTTTAAAAAAATAAAATAAAATATATTGCTGAATAAAAAAAATAAAATTTTAATGCAATCCCTTTCAAAATTCCAGTGGCATTTTCTACAGAAGTATAAAAACAATCCTAAAATTTATATAAAACACAAATGTGCCCAAGTAGCCACAGCAATCCTAAGAATAAAGCAGAAGGCATCACACTTCCTGATTTCAAACTAAATTATAAAGCCAAAGTAATGTAAGAACAGAAATCCTAGAATAAAACATAGGAGCCAATCGATGTTTCTCTCTCATTGATGTTTCTCTCTCTCTCTCCCTCTCCCTTACTCTTTCTGAATAAAAACATTTTTTTAAAAAGCTACTTGACATGAGTCTTGACAATGACATTCTAGATGACACCTAAAGAAAGCACAAGCAACAAAATAAAAATTAGACAAGTGGAACTACATCAAACAAAAAGTTTCTGCTCAGCAAAAAAAAATTAACAAAATGAAAAGATAACCTATGGGACAGGAAAAATATTTCAAGCCATATATCTGATAAGGGGTTTATATCCAAAATATATAAGTAACTCATACAAATCAATAGCAAAAAAATAGCACTGCTGTATGGACAAAGGACCAGAATAGACATATCTTCAAAGAAATAAATATGGCCAACAGGTATATGAAAAGATGCTCAAACATCACTAATCATTAGGGAAATGCAAATCAAAACTACAATGAGACATCCCCTCAAGCCTGTTGGAATAATTGGCATCAAAAAAGTCAAGAGAGCCCTGGCTGGTTTGGCTCAGTGGATAGAGCGTCGGCCTGTGGACTGAGAGGTCGCAGGTTCAATTTGGGTCAAGGGCATGTGCCTTGGTTGCGGGCACAACCCCAGCGGGAGGTGTGCAGGAGACAGCTGATCGATGTTTCTCTCTCATCGATGTTTCTAACTCTTTATCTCTCTCCCTTCCTCTCTGTAAAAAATAAAATATATTAAAAAAAAAAAAAAAGTCCGGTTTGGCTCAGTGGATAGAGCGTCGGCCTGCGGACTGAAGGGTCCCAGGTTTGATTCTGGTCAAGGGCATGTACCTGGGTTGCGGGCACATCCCCAGCGGGAGATGTGCAGGAGGCGGCTGATCGATGTTTCTCTCTCATCAATGTTTCTAACTCTCTATCTCTCTCCCTTCCTCTCTGTGAAAAATCAATAAAATATATTTAAAAAGAAAAAGTCAAAAGAAAACATAAGGTGGCAAGGATGTGGAGAGGAGGGAACCCCTGCGTACAGCTGGTGAAACTGTCAACTGGTACAGCCACTATGGAAACCTAATGAGTTTTCTCAAAAAATTAAAAGTAGAACCACCCTACTCCTTGGCTGAGTGGCTCAGTCAGTGTCATCTCATGCACCAGAAAGGGCTCAGGTTACATTCCCAATTCTGGGCACCTACCAAGGTTGCAGATTTGATCTTTGGGTTGGGGCACGTGTGGGAGGCGGCCAATCAACGTTTCTCTCTCTCCCTTTCTGTCTCTCTAGAATAAAAAATAAACAAACAAAAAACACCCACACACCAAAAAAATAAAAAATCCTATGATCCAGCAATTCCACTTCTGGGAATATTTCTGAAGGAAATAAAAACTCTATATGCCCCATGTACAGAGCAGCATTATTTACAATAGTCAAGACGTGAAAACACCTAAGTGTCCATCGACAGATGAATGTATAAAGATGATGATATGTATCTATACACAGTGGAATATTATTTAGCCATAAAAAAGTAGGAAATCCTGCTATTTGCAACAACACGGATGGACCTCAAAGGCAGTATGCTAAGTGAAATAAATCAGACAGAGAAAGACAAGTACTGTACGATCTCACTTACGTGTGGAATCTAAAATAAAATCTAAACTCATCAAAAAGAGATCAGATGTGGTTACCAGGGGTGAGAGATTGGGGAGGGAAAACTAGAGAGGGATAGTTAAAAGGTACAAACTTTCAGTTATAAGAATAAGGGATATAATGTACGGCATGATGACTATACTTAACACTGCTGTTTGGTATATGAACATTAAGAGAGTAAATCCTAAGATTTCTCATCACAAACAAAACCATTTTTGGTACCTATAATGGGATGACGGATGTTAACTAAACTTACTGTAGTAATGATTTTATGATATGTGTAAGTAAAACCACTATGCTTTACATCTTAAACTTGTACAGAGCTGTAGGTCAATTATATCTCAATAAACTGAAAAAACAAAAGGATGGTGTGTAGAGAACACGAAAAGTAGGCATACTTGGATAAGCTAGCTCCAGATTTTTACAGAAAACGTTTTACTAGTTGTATACCTTAAGACATTAAAGCCCCATCTTGCTTGTCAAAACACCTCTGATAGAAAGCTAGACCAGCAAGTTCCCCATGTTCTGGGGAGCCTCAGTTTTACATATTCTCATGCCATGTTTTGGGGCTTGGATGTAAGAAAGAGGTAAACAATGACTCTGTAGATGCAGGTGATAAGTAAACAGAGGGATTAAAAGAACTAATGCCGCAAAAGGACTCTTTGTCATCTACACAAAGTACTTACTGCTTTAGGATACCATGGCACCCTTTTTGAGAACACCGAACCTTTTTTTATAGTCCACTACAATTGTTAAGTTGTGATATGAGGACTGTAATGATCAACCACAGGCTGTATCACAAGTACAGTTATGGAAAATGGGTAGTTTGTTAGAGAAGGCTGGAATGATCATAGAGATTTCCCGTAAGGCATCATGACTCTTACGAGCCCATGTATTTGATCAAGAGCTTGCCCAGTGATGAGGAGATAAACTCTCCACCAGAGGCACCTCACCGTCAAGTCTCCTGAGAGTTAGGCTGTAAAGCTGACATTCAGGTTGGCAAGACGACTCTATCCATCCTTCATGGCATGAGACAATGACTTGCAAAATCCAAGAGGCTAAATTCTGATTATCCTTTTAAAAGAAAACATTACAAATCACATGTAGTGTACCTTTACTGCTTCACTGGCTAACAAAAGGCACGCTTTGAGTTCCGACTATGAACTCCATATGTTCAGCAACGCAGCACAGGTCCCAGTCTCCAACAACGTCCCAAACACGCCCCCTGTGGGAGTTAAAGACTGGAGCTGCCAACTGCCATTGCCAAGAATGAAAAGAAACAACTTAATTCACTAACTTCTACAATTCCTTCTGCAATGATTTTATTATAAATATGTTACTTTGGAATAAACAAATATTGCATTCAAGACTATCTGCAAACTTGTTCTAAAGGAATAAAAGGAAAATGGAACCAGGAGCCACTTAGAAGAGATAAACAGCAAAGACACCTGCATGCCTCTCTCCCAAGAAGTAAGAGAAGTTAACAGGGAACATCACATTTCTCATCAGCCTATTCAGTTAGAATAAGCTTTGAGTTTGGTAATTTGTACTTGTTCTGTAAACGGAACTGCTTCTCTCCTCAGTCCTAAGAAGTAGAATGGGAAGACAGTCTTCAGATCCCAGTAGCAACAAGAAAGATCTTGACTTTGTATTTGTAACTCTTTGCTCACCTACAAAACCGTTCACTATTTGCCAGGAGCAATGTCAGAGTAGTCCTTCAGAACTCCAGCCATGTGTTCGTTATGAGTCTTAAATCGTCGCTTTTTCTGTGAAGCAGGCTTTTTCCTTCTCTGGATAGGGGCCTACAGGAAAAGGTAAAAACAGAAACAACAGCTCTCGGAGGGGTAAAGCATAAGGATTTACTCAGGATGCCCAGAAACCAGCAGCAAGAGATTTGGAGTATTTGGCCTGTTTTTCTGCTTTGTAACCAAATCTCATGCACATCAATCCATAGCACACTCCCAACCACAAACAAGAAACTATGCTTTCTATTATGATGCATATACTTCTACCTGGAATAAATGGGCTGACACAAAAACTTCTCAGAACTATTCTAGGAACTAAGTAAATAAAAAGAGAGGCAGCAAAGCTTTCTCATCACTACTATCTGGTTTAAAAATATATACTTCAGCCCTGGCCAGTATTGCTCAGTAGGCTGGGCATTGAACCAGGAGGTTGCTGGTTCGATTTCTGGTCAAGGGCATGTGCCTGGGTTGCAGGCTTGATCCCCAGTTGGGGGCAAGCAGGAGGAAACAAATCGGTGTTGCACTCTCACATCGATGTCTCTCTCCCCACTTCCTCTCTCTCTCTAAAAATATATACATATCAAAAAAAAGATCTCACATAAATAGGGCAAAACACAGACATATGGGCAAAATTAGGAAGTAGATGAGCACATGAAGATTTACTATTATTCTCTATTCTTTTCAGTATACCTGAAACCATAAAGTACTGTAAGTACACTAATTTACGGAGATCACTGGCAATAAATCTTCCTTTTTAAGGAGCCCTAAAAATTCACTGAAACACACACACACGAAAAGTCAGAAAGAAGGCAAGTTACACAGCCTGGTGGTGGACAGAAAAAGATGGGGAGAAGTGCTGCAGTTGGAGTCTAAAGTGTGAACTAGTTCTCACTTGGGCTTTGTCCTTGGACTAGCACAGCTACTTATTAGCCAGTGCAGACCATTTCACAAGTCTTTATCCCATTACAAATCCTTCCTCAGAGCAGGATTTAGGCTACAAAGACAGTATTACCTGGTTCAGAGAGATCTGAAAGTTAACAAGGACAACTCAACGTGATCAGGACTAAGGGAGAGCCAGGCACCAACACTATGGGACTCATTGGAGCAGGAGCCTGGGGGGAGGGTAGATGGCTAGAGTCTTAAAAGGCCAAGATCAGGACATGTGAGCACTAGGAAAAGTTTGGTATGGCTGGAGCTTAAAAGCAGACACTACTAGGACAGGGCGGTCGGATGGGGAAAACTCACACACTCCTGGGGAGCAGCACTTGAGGGCAGAGATCTGTTGGCCCTCAATAAACCACATGTGATCCGGTTTGCAACTGACCAAGATCAATGGGTCAGGACACAGAAAAAACTGAAAGGGAGAGCTGACTACCTGCTCTTCAGAGAAGAGAAAGCAGGCTAACAGTTAGTTCAAAGAACAGAGAACTACATTTTTTTCCAGCGGTTACATACCACTTTCTTTGGTCCGGATTCCTGCATGGAAGAAATACCCTGTCGCTTCAGATATTCTTCAATTTTCTCCTCATCCATTGAATCCACAGTGACACTCCTCCACAGTTTCTGAAACTCTGTGCCAACAAGACAGTAGATATTTTACAATAGATGTTTACAAGCTACAGCACCTCAGTGATGGAAATCCAAGCTTCAATATTATCTCCCCTGGTCTATATTAGCACATCTGTGATTTCATTATAAAAACAAAGGAAGTGAGACAACATTCAAATGCTGGACACTGAGCAGCAGAAGGGCCTGAGAACAGAACTGCATCCTTACAGTAATGTTCTATTTTTAGAGTCTGTAAATGAAGGGCCATGTGCGAAAGGCCTCCCTGCTTTCCTGGGGAGGAAAGGCTGTCCACAGTCTCCTTTTATTACACAAATCAGTTCTCTGCACTGAAATAGTTCAAATTCCTGCTCATCTCTCCTGAGCTCAGTACTCCATTTCCTCTCCTATTGGAGGGACAATGGAAACCAGTTTCATATGGAGTGAGGAGCTATACAGATCACAGCTGACCCTTGAACAACATGGGTTTGAACTGCACAGGTCCGTTTATATGCAGTCTTTTTTTTTTTTAATCCTCACCTGAGGATATTTTTTTCACATTGATTTTCTTTAGAGAGAGTAGGAGAAAGGAGCGGAGAAAAGGAAAGATAGAAAGAGACATCGATGCAAGAGACACATCGATTGTTTGCCTCCCATAAGCACGCAGAGGCTGAGGATTGAGCCTGCAACCATGGTATGACTGGGAATTGAGCCTTGACTGGGAATCAAACCTGAGACCCTTCAGTCCATGGGCTGGTGCTCTAACCATTAACCTAAACCGTCCAGGGCTATACACAAACTTCTTTCAATAAATGCATTGAAAAATCTTTTGGAGATCAGTGACAATTTGAAAAAAACTCGCAGACAAACATTATTAATTTTTTTATTTTTATTTTTTGGTATAGCGAAGGCGGAGATTTATTGAAGAACAAGTACAGGCTCCCACGTGGGGAGGGAGAAAGAGTCCCCTTAAATTTTTAATAACATTTTCTTTTCTCTACCTTACTTTATTGTGAGAATACAGTATATAACATATAAATATATGTTAACTAACTGCTTATGTTATCAGTAAGGCTTCCAGTCAATAGTAGGGTATTAGTAGCTATATTTTTGAGAAGTCAAAAGTTATACTGCGGGGTCGAGGGGTGAGGGTGGGAAAAGGTTAACCAAAGAACTTATATGCATAACCCATGGACACAAATAATAGTGAGGTGAAGGGGTGGGGGTAGGAGGGTGCAGAGAACTGATTTGTGTAATAAAAGGAGACTGTGGACAGCCTTTCCTCCCCAGGAAAGCAGGGAGGCCTTTCGCACATGGCCCTGTGAAGGGAAATCAGTGCAGGGGGGAAGAGGGGACATCTGTAATACTTGCAACAATAAAGGTAAACCTAAAAAAAAAAAATTAAAAGGGGGGCAGTTTACACTTGGCTTTCAACTGTGTGAAGGATTGGAGCTTCTAGTGCCTGCTTGGAATTAGAAAGATGTGTAAAGTGTGGCTAAAAGGTAGGTAGTTAGGACTTCTAACTTTTCTAATTCCAAGCAAATTCTACCAACTCGCATATAAAGATGTTGTAATAGTAAACTCCGTCATGACCTTTGAGCTATTGTTGTCATAAATTTTACTATTACAAATGTTCTAAAAACAAAATACAATATCTTTGTTTTAAGCAGCTATATATTTCAGAGCAATTAAAAATAAGAAAAGGTTTTTAATTAAAAGTTAACATTTTAAATTAGAAAGACATGAATTTTATATTTACCTTCATTTATTCCATTTAGAGCACTCTCACTTATTTGTATAGGTCCAACTTACTGTCTAGTATCCCTTCTGCCTGAAGAACATCCTCAGTACTTTTAGTAATGCAGGTCTGATGACAATGAATTCTCCCAGTTTCTGTCATGTCAAGAGAGTATTACTTTGAAAGTAGTTCTCTTTCATTTTGAAAGACTATTTTTGCTGGGTACAGAATTCTGAGTTGAAAAGTTTTTCCCTTTTGGCCCTTAAAAAATATTACTGCACTGTCTTTTGGTTTGCACAGGTTCAAATGAAAAGTCTGCTGTAATCCTTTTTTCCTCTGAATACCTTCAATATTTTCTCTTCATCTTCATTTTTTCAGCAGTTTGAATAAATGCTTTTCTAGCATTTGTTGGGGGGGGGGGGGTGGTAATCTTGCCTCATGTGTTCTCTGAGCTTCTGCATCTTTGTTTTGTTCTCTATTGTTAATTGGAAAATTCTTGGCCATTTCTTCTTCTGTCCCATTCTCTTTCTCTTCTTCTGAAATTTTAATTACACATTCAGACCACTCTTTATTATCTCAAAGCTTATGGACGCTGTTTGTAATTTTTCATGTTTTTCTCTTTGCCATTTCAGTTTAGATCATTTGTATTGGCCTATCCGAAAGTTAAGATTCTTCCCTTGGTCATACCACGTTTACTGATGAGTTTACTGAAGACACTGTCTTATTATTGTGCTTTTCATTTATAGAATTTCCATTTGATTTTGTTATGTTTATCTCTCTGCTGAAATATCCTACCTGGTCATACATGTTGTCTGCCTCTTCTACTAGAGGCTTAACATATTAATCACTTATTTTAAATTCCATGTCCGATAGTTCCAATATCTGTGTCCTAAGAATATGGTTCAGTTAATTCCCTGGCCTCAAAAGTGCATTGCTTTTCTTGTTTCGCTTTATGCCTCAATTTTTTTGAAAGCAGGATATCCTCTGCAAGACAGCTGAGACTGAGGTAAACAGATTTTGTGCCTAGAATGAGGCACGCCTTTCTTTCTGCTAGGCCTTTAGTGGGTGGAGGTGGGGTGATTCCATTGTCAGGACCTGAGCTTAGTTTGGAATATGTTGCTGCCATTGTTACCCATGATGCACCACAAGCTTCAAATTCCTCTAGACATACTTCTTTAGGGTAGAAGAGGCTTGTTTGCTAGAGGGTTTTCCTGTGTCTGCTCAACCTGTGATCTTCCCTTTATGCTGCACCTAAGAAGATCTGTTAGCCCTAGGCTCTTGCACTTCCCTGCATTCATTAACTGCTAGCCATTTCGGTTAGCCTGGTATGGGGGTGGGAGTTCTCTGTTACTGTCATTAAGCCTGGTCTTGGGCAAGCACTGTGTTCCCTGGTGACTGGGGAGTGGCCTCCTCAGTGTCCTGCCCTGCCCCCTCTGCTGAAGGTCTGGATCCAGCACAGCTTTGCCTTTTTCCTGTAGGTAGAGGGTTTTCTTTCTGTTCCCCTCCCACAGCAGTTTAAGACTTTGTCTCATAGGAAAGGCAGGGAGAAGGACTTAGGTAGAATTCATATCTTTCCTGAAGCATCTATTTACTGTTCCCTCCTCCAGACCTGCTCAATGAGGGCAGTCCGTCCACCCTACCCCCTATCTTTTTTGTAAGCATCAAATAAAGTCTGGAGACAGGTGCAAATTCCCATGTGTCTGCAGACCCCAGGGTTTCTATACTGTCTTGCTAGTCTATACAAAGCCTTTAGCAGTTCATTAAAAAATTAAACTGACCTGGTTGGGGTGCATGTGGCAGGCAACCAATTGATGTGTCTTTCTCACATCAATATTTCTCTCTGTGTCTCCCGCTCCTTTCCACTCTTTCTAAAAACCAACAGAAAAATAGCCTCAGGTAAGGATTAAAAAAATAAAAGAAAATGAAAACCTGAAGAAAAAAATACAGGATCAAGTCAGGCAGCTCTGCTGTTATTTTAACATGTATATTTTGTGTTAAAATTGTATTTCTTTCTCAAAAAAAAAAATTTTTTTTCAACTGAATTCTTGTGGACACTGTTCATTTTGTCTGTCCCAGGTAAACAAGAACTTCTATTCCATCTTTCCTTAATGCTTGCCTTTCTTTACTTAGATTTGGGGTCAGGTGGTAGCCCTGCAACCTCAGATCTCTGCTAGATTCAAGAAAACGGTACATTTGTAGCTGTCTAGGGTTTGTTGTTGTTGTTGTAAGGGTGGGAGCAATGCTTTCTCCATTCTAAGTGAAAGCTAGAATTCCCAACTACCTACCTTTTAGCCACACTTTACACATTTTTCTAATTCCAAGAAGGCACACAAAATTGTTTTAAAATGTACACCATAACCAGAATTTTATGTCAAGTTTACCATAGCTACTGAAGGAAATACGTCACATACAAAATAGTTCTTGAGTTTTAACCATGACTTTGTTAAATTTTATCAACATGTAAAATTTGTATTCATTCATTAATAAGAAGTGTTACATGGTGTCACTGTATAACAATTAAACTGTGTACTTCTCTATGTCAAAAAGGGTAAGGAGAATAAAAGTGCATATGATAAAAACACCTTTTACTCAATGGTAAATTTTATTCAATCAACTTTTTACCAAGCTTTTATGTTACCAGCATTGCAAAATTTCAGTTCCTTGAAAATGGAAATTACTTTGACTTTCTACTTGACATGTACAGAGCTTCTATTCTCTGGGCCTCTTATGACACAATCACAAAGGCAATAATACCTACTACAACCATGACAGCAATGGTCTGGAGAGCTGATCTGTATAATAACATACCACCAAAAGTATATACACAACACTATAATTTTTCATGGCACAACAGACTTCCAAGTATATAAAACAAAATTTAACTTCCTTTTGCTAAAAGAATGCCACTGGGGCTATTTTCAAAGCAAACTCCCTGATAAGAACTCTTCACAATGTTTTTTTTTTCTCTTCAATAAAACAATTCTACTGTAATCCCTGCCTTTACTTAACTCAATGCTGTTGTAGGTTTTTTGTGTGTGGGTGGGTCTTTTTTGTTTTTTTGTTAATCCTCACCCAAAAATATTTTTCCATTCATTTTTTCAGAGATTGGAAGAGAGAGGGAAACATCGATGTGAGAGAAACACATCGGATTGGTTGTGTCCTGCATGAGCCCTGACCAGGGCCCGGGTGGGGAAGGAGCCTACAACCAAGGTACGTGCCCTTGACCGGAATTGAACCTGGGATCCTTTGGTCTGCAGGCTGATGCTCCATCCACTGAGCAAAACCGGC